GGAGCGCGGGGCTGGGGGCCGGCGGCGGGGCGGAGGAGCAGGCCGGGACCTCCCGGCAGGCCGGGGCTCCCCGCTCTCCCCGAGTTTGCTTCTGCTGCAGGTAGAGCGACCTGACACGTTTTCCGGGCGAAGGTAGGTGCCTGTAGATGCGTGTACGAGCTGAGGGACACAATGTAAGTCTTTTTGCTCAGCGATGGGCTTACATCTTTCGCTTGAACTACTTATTGGTGGAGCGATCTAAAACACTCGGGTGGCGTGAGGCTGGTGTGTACAAGTCTGGACAAGATAATAGAGAACAATTAAAAGGAAAAAAAAGTCTTAGCAATTGCTGAGTTTTATAAAATACTACGTCTTTTGCATTTCCTTACTTCCACTGTTGTGCGTGTGTAATGCGTGTTTTTATGCAAATACATACGCACACATGCACGTGCATACAAATTCCTTTTATATTTTCTTTTTTTGAAGAGGATGATGTGCACGGGAAAGGGTTAATGATACCATCAGTGTCATTAGCAGTGAAGAGGACTTCCATTCTTGAAACTTCTTCAGAGTTTTTAATGAAAAAAGTTGTGTAAGTTAACTGTTTGGGAGAGATGATGGAAGATGAATTGTTCTCTGTCACGCTTCTCATCTGTAGTTGTTATGGCTCCTCAAAGGAGCTATACTTAAGGCACTTAAAAAGGATCATGAATTGCCTGCAGAATATCTGTGAGAAACTATTGGTATTAATTTGTGTATCATATTTAGTAAAAGAAGTTACCAGCATTCTCAAACTTTAAATCTTTAAAAAATTAGAGGAAAAGTCTTTGAGCATGTCTCAGAGCCGTAAGTACTGCTTTCTTGTCTTTTCATTATCATTTATTTTGTTTCTCGGGGTGTAGGTAAGTTGCACACCAGGAAGAAAATAATTAGTGGTAACATTGTATCACATGTCAATGGGGGGGGAAAAATAGCAATTGCAGTTGTTATGATGTAACTTTCAAAGAAAATTGTGACTGACTTTTGAGCATGTTGGCTGTATGCAGGGCAGCTTTCAGATTTTTTTTTCAGTGGCTGAGAAGTTAGGTGAAACTGAAAAAAAAAGTACAGAATATTTATGGTAGAAGATTCAGGAGTTGATTAAGAACTTTCTCTTAGCAGTAACTCAAGAATTGTTTGCTTTTGGTTTAATAAATGCCAGCTAACAAAATAATCTGCTGCTTGGTTTACATGAAAATGTTCTTTTTTCCCTGATACCATTTACAGATTTTTTCCATTGATATTTAACAAGGATGAAAAATGTTTGGTAAGGTAGAACTGTATCTTCATATGAACAAAAGATTACTTGTAATTGATTAACTGACGTGGTTTGCTTTCTGTGCCCCTTTTTTCTCTTTTGATCGTTGACTTTTATTGCTTAGATACTGAAATTGTGTTAATACATAAATAAATCTGAAGAAACAATACAGTTGTGGAAAGAGCTGGTGAGTCTTGGGAAAACTAGTTTACTTGGAATAAGTTTCAAGCACCCTTATAGGTTTCTCACTTTGTGCTTGAGGAAAACGAGTAGTGGCCAGTAGAGCTGTGCTTTGCTTTTGACTTAAAATTTCTTTGCTAACTGACATGTACTACACAGGCACTTAGGGGAATTTTCAAGGGCAAGGAAGAGAGGTAAACATCATTGGGTTTCAGTGGGACACTCTGTATGTGTATTTGAAAGTGTCTTGTGCTAGAATCAGGGCAATGGTCACTGTTGTTGAAGTAAAGGGAAAGTTCAGTACTGCTTTTGGGTTGGAATAAGATGTGTTTCTATCCAGCCTTTTTAAATGTTTCTAATTTGAACTTCTTTAAGAATGTGTGTATTTCGTTTATAGGAAATCGACGTTTTTCAATGTGTTAACAAAGAGTCAAGCAGCAGCAGAAAACTTTCCTTTCTGTACTATTGATCCAAATGAGAGTCGAGTACCTGTGCCAGATGACAGATTTGATTTCCTATGCCAGTATCACAAACCTCCAAGGTAACTCAAATTCTTAATATTTTTCTTCAGTTAAGCAGCTGAAATAGTATTACTGAACCCAAGGTTTTCATAGAAGTTGAATGCAACTATAATGTCTATAAGTTTTTTATTGACATCCGTTTTAGAATGTGAAATTATATATATATATATATGTACCTGGATTATACCTCCCCCCACTCCCTGCTCCAATATGACCTTTGTGGTATGAGAATGAGAAATCTAGGAGCTGCTAGTCATTGCTCAGCACCATTTGGTGCTTGGTGTTCTTGTCTTTGAAGGTAGTGGCTCCCAAGTGACTTGGAGGATCTTCTGAAGAGATTTGGAAAATGAACAGTAGTGGACATACCTAACGTGTCATGAGGTTGCTCATTTGTAAAATTTCCACCCTGTATTTTGTGTCATTCAGAATATTGTATATGCTGTAGGTAGCCAAACAAGTATCTATCAATATACCTGTGTCCTCCGTCTTTTGACAGTAAGCTTTATGGGCAGCCTTTTTTCCCCCCTGACTCTCTCTCCTTTTTATAGGCACTGCTACTTGTTATCTGGTATATTCAGGGATATTCCTACAATGTGTCTTTTCTAACTGTTTCCTTATTCTAGGAGTGTATTAATTTTGTCACAGCAATGGTTTTTGCTATTGACTGTTTCCATAATCTGCTCTGTATGTTCAGTGTGGGAACTGGATTTTTGCTTGAACAGCAAAACTTAAGGTGCTTTCAGAAAACAGAAACTTAATAGGCACTTGTGACTTGTTAATTTCAGTTTGCAGTTACTTGCAGAGGTATCTTGAATAAAGTGAGTGTACGTAAATCATAGGGCAAATTAGCATGCACATCTGTGCTTTCCTTCAACACTTGGGCCTCAGTTTTACAGCCAGATCACACCCACAATCAGGTCCAAACAAGTTGCTTCCGTCTGTAATTCCTGTGCACTTTTTAAATACTGAAAAATGCATTAATATGGAGCTGTTTGTTTAGGTGGATTGTTACAACATGTTATCTTGTTTTTCCTGCTCAAGTGAGTATTGAGCATACTTGTTACTGTATGGATTATAAAACAAAAGTCTGCTGAATTTGAGACAAAACTTTCTGGCTGTTGATTGCACAGAGATGATGTGGCTTTTAAGTTTTGTTGACAATTTTGTTCTAAATTGTAGCATTATTGCTGCTTTGGCCACATCAATAATCTCTCTTTCTTCTCACTTAGCTATGACTGGCTACTTCTAAATTAATAGTTGAAGTGACAAAGAGATTATTACCTCTCCCCTCATCCTGCCTTTGGCCGTCTATCCTTACAAAGAGTGCTAATATTGTAAATACCTGTATGTGTGTTCTCTGACTTGCAAAATCTCGCTCTCTGGAAAAAAATCACCCTTAAATATTAATGAAAATAGTATATTTACTGAATCTGTATTCAGTAAATACACTGCATTGGATAATAAGCTGGCTATAAATAGTAAATCAGTTTTCATTTGAATGGTCTTTTGACTTTAATTTTAAGAGAGTATTTGTTACTTAAAATCAATGCACATGGGGATTAGTGGCTAGATATAGCTCCTGAGTTCACTTATGCTGCTTATATGATTTTAATATTTCACTATAGCAGTAATAAAGCAGTGATAATTCAGTAGCACAGTAGACTAAGGTAACTCTTCTTGGGCTGTTTGTGCTCATCTGTCTGAGACTAACTCAGGAAAAGGTGGCAATGGTCATGAAGATATACAACTGAATTGTAATTTAAATTTCTTAATTTTTCTTGTATAGTCTTGATTTTGTTCATCTTTATGTAATATGTTCTGTGTTAATTTTCTACTTGTTTGGATTAGTAGACATCATAAAGCTGTGCACGCAGAATGTTTTATAAACAGTGAGTTCTCTTTAAATTAGACTCTTGTCTAGCCTCAAGATTTTGTCTTCTAAAATCTAAAGCATTCAGGTTTTTATTTCCCATATGTTACACTTAGTCATCATGTAACTGCAGTCATTGTTGGGAGGTGGGGAAAAAAAAAAGGGGGAGTTTGTCTTAACTAAAATAATGTATGACAGACTAAAGTGATTTTTGCCTTGATGCTCGCTGTGAGCGAGGGAAGGGAAGAGTGGGACTGGGCCGGGCTGGCAGTCGCTGTCTGTCACGCTGAGCTGAGGTTGCTGCTGCTGCTACAGAGAGGCGGACTCTGTTGCCATGAATATTGCTAGTGTGAGTTTGCGGCTGTTCTGCCATCGGAGGAAGAGTTAGGCTCTTCAGGTACTGTTTGTTGCTTGAAGATCTGTTCCTATCTCCAAAAGAAGAAAGTGTCAGCTTGGATGGGACTGGTGTGCAGTTACTTGCTAGCCCATGCTGAAAGCTGACTGGTATTACTTAATTGGAAATGTAAATGTTTGTAAATGAAATCATGTAGGCAACAATTTAGAGACTATTACGTAAAAGTAAATCTGTACTTAATAGATTAAGGTACGCTGCCAGAACTTATAACCTGTGCTTTTTTTCTTTCTGCAGCAGTGGGTGATGTGTATGACTGTTTACAATAAATAAGTTCAGTGATATAGACTGTACACAGAAGGTGGGCTCCAAGTACTTCCAGTAAAAACTGCTGTGTTGCTGCCAAATTAATTAGATGAGCAAATTTCCTTGAGCTTTAATGTTACCTATTGCTCGCTTTCTGGTGTGAATGAAATTGTGGATATTAAAAAAAGAAGAGACCTTAATATATTAAAAATAATTCTGAATGCTTGTTATTTTAAGGTCTTAGCTTATATTCTGTTACTAACTTAATTTATGTATTTAAACTACTTTATTTGTTTTAAATTTTATACAATATTCAGTGAAAACTCATATTTGTTACATTGTGCCAACATGTAGCTTTTTCAGAAAGGAAAGACTGTTGGCTTTTTATTTTGTTGTCCTCCTACCGCTGTTCCCCCAACACGGGTACTTTCAGGCAAGGTTCGCCCCCCCCCCCCCCCCCCCCAATCTATGGATCTTAAGCAGGTAGCAGAGGAGGAGATTCTGCTAATTCTGAAAGAAAAGAGATGTTCTTCATCTCAGCAGGTAGCTCCTGCCTTGAAAATTGGGACTGGAAGCCAGAAAACAGTTGAGAGATTCTGCTAATTCTGAAATGGAAAAGAGATGTTCTTCATCTCAGCAGGTAGCTCCTGCCTTGAAAATTGGGACTTGGAAGCCAGAAACAGTTGATCTGTTAACCGCAGTTAATATTTTAATGGGACATTTTGTGTTTAGAAGTTATAGGTTTCTTACAGAAGAAAAGAACTGTGTGTGTAGCATATATAAAGAAATTTTAGTAACTTAATGAAAGCTTTAATAAAGCTATTATCATGCATTTTTCGTTCTAAATTTCATTAAGATGCTGCTTAATCACCTTAAGCCTAAAAATATTTTTTAGTGTAAGTATGTCAGACTGAAGTCATTTGGACAAGTGATTTGTGTCATAACTCATAAATATCTTGAAAGCCTCTGAGTATATATACCCACCAGGCTTAGCCTGTATGGTCCTGCCTACTACCACAGCTGTAGCATACTGTGCCTGACCAGGAGATGTATCTCAGTGGTGACATTTGATTCAAGCCTCAAAATGATTTTGAGTGAGGGTGTGGAGGAAACTGCTATTTCCTCTTTTTTTATTTTGTGCCCCAAATAATCTCCTCACTGCAATTATTTGCATTCTTTCTTCTTTACTTTAAACTATATGATTAACTAAAACAAATACTCAGACAGAAGCAATGTAAGCCTAAGCTGTGTTTTAATAGTAAATAGTTAAAACTGAAGGACTGCATTGGCTGATAGTAATCAACCTGTGTGAAAACATTAATAAAAAGAAGTGGTTTTAAAGTCTGTTTCTGCTTCCTCCTCTGGTTAAAATCAAATGAGATTATAAGCAGGAATGAGTAAAATGTAAGTAGTTCGGTTCATCCTTTCAAGTTATCAGTATTCATTTAATTCCTTGTTTGTTTGCACCTGTAAGCGGGTGTGTTGCCTTGCACATATGTGTTCACAAAACACAATGCTTATTGCAACCACAAACATTTCTATTTAACTTAGACTGTTTTTAATCTATCTTGGATGTCCTTTTCAAACTTAAATTTTAAAGCAATCCTGGTTATCTCGCAGGAGGATAATATGTGAAGTGCAACTACCCTTCAGCTCTAGCACTGTCCAGTGTACTTCAGGATCTCTGTTCTTTTTGTCAGCAAATTGCTTTGGTTTGTTCTGTTGTATTGTAGATTGTTAAAATTAATGCATTCAGATATTTAGTGCTCAAGCGATGGTTACTGAACTAGATCTGAGTAACTTCCATTGTTGTCTAGGTCATGAAAGTTCTGTGTAATATTAAATAAAAGTTCTCTTGAACTTATTGTAGGATAGCATACTCGATACTTGATAAAGTTTTGAAGCCAAAATTATGTAATCAGTTGGTGGAAAGTACTACTTAGAAACCAGATCAGCAGTGGGACTTTTTGAATGACATCATGTGGGACTTACTCTAGGTTTAAAAAGAGCATTTATGTAAATGAAAACCACCTGTAATTCCAGAGTGAAACATGAATAACCTAGCTGGATGTAACTCTGGCATATCAGCATCTGTAAGAGAATCCCATTTTTTACAGAAAACAGCTGAAAATTGGCAAGTATATCCTGTTGTTAATGTGCTGCTTCCTTTGGTGTTACTGAGTTTGCCTGCTTTTCAGTTAATTCTGAGCCTGTGTAAATCAACTTGGCTGTGATGCTTGTTCTAGCATTGCAAATGAATAATTTGCCAGCAGTGAATGAAAGACCTTAAGTAGTGGTGGCTTGAGCCATGTTTTCTGCCTGGTGGGAGAAGGCAAAATTTAATTAGTTGTATCTTGTTGGTGTAATAATTTACTGAATAGTTTGAGAATGCAGGCATTTGATATACATGGGACACTGAGTATGTATCTTAATGCACATTGAATCTTTTACCTTTTTATAATTCATGTAAGTGAAACTTAATTAGCAGATTT